TGAATGGGTTCTCAGTAGGCTACTAGATGGGCTAAAGTGGGTTGCCCCCTTTTCAAGAGAAAAGATTTTAAGGGTGGTTACTAAGTGGCTGCCTTTGCATATGCACGTACCAGTTGTTTTGCCCATTTCAGTTAAAAGTGTTGTGCAGTCATGTCCCGACTGTTTCTGCGAGAAGAATCCAGGACCGTCTCAGTCCTAAGTATTGCTTTTGCCAGACAGTATTTGCAAGATGTTCAGCGTCTGTTAGTTTCCTTTCTGCCCAAATCATTTCTTGAAACAGGAAAACTGAAATGCTGTTACACAACAGGGCCAAAGACGTCGACAATAGAGTATCCACTATGTCAGCTTCAAATTCTGCAACCAGTTATACTAACCAAATAATGATACTTAAATACCGTCATAGTCCCACGACATTACTGAGACATTTTTCTATTGCAATATCCTGAAATTACACATACCATTACATCAATAGCAGGGTGCCATCTGGGGCTCTTACTTCTTAATAATGTCTAATAATGCACTGGTCTACAAAACAGGCAGAAAAAAAAATCATAAAATCAAATGGTTTGACTTGTTACACTTACAAATGGAGATCTTATTAGGTTGAATCCCATTTAGCAGCATGCCAGCTGTGTTAGAAGCCTATCAATAAGCAATCTGACACACAAGCCTTCAATTTATCAAAAGGCAGTGTAGCAGAGCTACAAAAGGAGTAAAATTATTCAATATGTCTAGACCATTTTTAAAAGTCAAAACAAAATAAGTGGGAAACAGAAAAGCTGTTGTGACAAAGAGGAGCCAAGTTCACAATATGAAATTAAGGAATATAAAAGAAGTATATATCATAAACGACATCAATTCTGAATTTCTAGTTTATGTGCAGCTGTAAAATAAGAACACCAGAGAATCATTTAAAGCGTGTATCTGCATTTACTTCCCACCATTAAAAGCTGCTCTAAAACTACTGTGCTACTTATGACATATCATCAGAAACAGTGACCTACTGTCAAAGGTGAAAATTTACTTTGCAGCAGAACTGGCTTTTTAGACCAAAGAACACTACAAACCACAGACTAACACAGACTAACATTTCACTTAAATACCTCATTTAGTTTACTATTTGATATTCCATAATAGTAGCTGGCACATTCTCTAAATGACGATTAAAAATGCTGTAAAGGACCAATATGTCAGTGGTCTCTCATTTCTTATAAAACCATCCAAGACTAGTCATGTCAATCATGAAAGAGAAGTGTGAGGGAAAGTGAGAACAGAGGTAGCGAGCCGGACGCTGGTGGCTGTACAACACCCGCTCTATAACATCACCCACACTCACCACAACACTGTAGTTTTAATATAGCTAAGATTTCTGTACCAGCAGGTACAGAAGAGTTACTGTGCACTTAATTTCTGGCTTTACTGTACTATTTTTAGGTGAACTCAGCCATAATGTCCAGAGCCTTATAACTAAAGATCCATTCATGCTTTACAATACAATCTTGTGTAATTACTTTTGCACAAATTGCTTATTCTTCTGTGTTAATACAGTTTAAATGTGTACTGGCGGATGATGAACCCTCCCTGACCCAATTACTAAGCTGGCATCCAGAAGAGGGAACAAAGAGGAACAGCTGTCTATCAATAGACTGTGTTTTCAGGACTAGCACAAATGAAACAGACAACCAACAGCTCGTTCTCCTGACCAAAATCAGCAGGGACACCACAAATAAACACCTTTCAGCTTTAGCTGGATTCAGCTGGCGGAGGTTCAAATGTCAAGTTACCAGAATAAGACAGGACCACCACTACCTTTCAGTACTGAAATTGCAAGTCTCTTAATCAGTTGATTAAGATATATAATTTACATTGGCATACAACAAAGAAAAGCAGCAAATCCTCACGTTAGAAGCTAGTAAGAGTATTTTTTGATACTTCAGTGATTAACTGCATGTCAAAATGGTGAGAATAAAGCAATATTTACAAGCAAAAATGCTAATGATTCTCAGCTTTTCAAATGTGAGAATTTGCTGCCTGTGTCTGTTCTACATTGTAAACTAGATACCTTTGAGTTCTGGGCTGCTGATCAGACAAAACCGGCAATCTGAGTACATCACTTTGGGATCTGATAAATTGCTTTTTTTATGTTTTCAGATATTTCTGAAAATAAATGAATCAAAAGTCATGACAATAATCTTTAACTGCAGCTCTAGAAGCAGCAGAAACCCATAGTGCCCATCACTTAAGAAATGACTGGTCTTGATAATTTGGTCTGGGCATCAGCAAGTAGCAACATAAATATGCACTGTGAAAGACAAAAGATGTTGCTTGCAGATAAAAAAAAAAAATCCCTCCACATACAACGGGACATACTGTATCTTTGTTGTGGAGATTATATGGCGGCAGCAGCTGGATCTTGTAAATAAAAAGAGCCACAGTTGCAGTGTGGAACATCAGTGTATTAGTACACCCTCAGCAGGTGTAAATTTCTCTTGTTGGTGGCTGTGCCGACCGGTGAATGGGTTCTCAGTAGGCTACTAGATGGGCTAAAGTGGGTTGCCCCCTTTTCAAGAGAAAAGATTTTAAGGGTGGTTACTAAGTGGCTGCCTTTGCATATGCACGTACCAGTTGTTTTGCCCATTTCAGTTAAAAGTGTTGTGCAGTCATGTCCCGACTGTTTCTGCGAGAAGAATCCAGGACCGTCTCAGTCCTAAGTATTGCTTTTGCCAGACAGTATTTGCAAGATGTTCAGCGTCTGTTAGTTTCCTTTCTGCCCAAATCATTTCTTGAAACAGGAAAACTGAAATGCTGTTACACAACAGGGCCAAAGACGTCGACAATAGAGTATCCACTATGTCAGCTTCAAATTCTGCAACCAGTTATACTAACCAAATAATGATACTTAAATACCGTCATAGTCCCACGACATTACTGAGACATTTTTCTATTGCAATATCCTGAAATTACACATACCATTACATCAATAGCAGGGTGCCATCTGGGGCTCTTACTTCTTAATAATGTCTAATAATGCACTGGTCTACAAAACAGGCAGAAAAAAAAATCATAAAATCAAATGGTTTGACTTGTTACACTTACAAATGGAGATCTTATTAGGTTGAATCCCATTTAGCAGCATGCCAGCTGTGTTAGAAGCCTATCAATAAGCAATCTGACACACAAGCCTTCAATTTATCAAAAGGCAGTGTAGCAGAGCTACAAAAGGAGTAAAATTATTCAATATGTCTAGACCATTTTTAAAAGTCAAAACAAAATAAGTGGGAAACAGAAAAGCTGTTGTGACAAAGAGGAGCCAAGTTCACAATATGAAATTAAGGAATATAAAAGAAGTATATATCATAAACGACATCAATTCTGAATTTCTAGTTTATGTGCAGCTGTAAAATAAGAACACCAGAGAATCATTTAAAGCGTGTATCTGCATTTACTTCCCACCATTAAAAGCTGCTCTAAACCTACTGTGCTACTTATGACATATCATCAGAAACAGTGACCTACTGTCAAAGGTGAAAATTTACTTTGCAGCAGAACTGGCTTTTTAGACCAAAGAACACTACAAACCACAGACTAACACAGACTAACATTTCACTTAAATACCTCATTTAGTTTACTATTTGATATTCCATAATAGTAGCTGGCACATTCTCTAAATGACGATTAAAAATGCTGTAAAGGACCAATATGTCAGTGGTCTCTCATTTCTTATAAAACCATCCAAGACTAGTCATGTCAATCATGAAAGAGAAGTGTGAGGGAAAGTGAGAACAGAGGTAGCGAGCCGGACGCTGGTGGCTGTACAACACCCGCTCTATAACATCACCCACACTCACCACAACACTGTAGTTTTAATATAGCTAAGATTTCTGTACCAGCAGGTACAGAAGAGTTACTGTGCACTTAATTTCTGGCTTTACTGTACTATTTTTAGGTGAACTCAGCCATAATGTCCAGAGCCTTATAACTAAAGATCCATTCATGCTTTACAATACAATCTTGTGTAATTACTTTTGCACAAATTGCTTATTCTTCTGTGTTAATACAGTTTAAATGTGTACTGGCGGATGATGAACCCTCCCTGACCCAATTACTAAGCTGGCATCCAGAAGAGGGAACAAAGAGGAACAGCTGTCTATCAATAGACTGTGTTTTCAGGACTAGCACAAATGAAACAGACAACCAACAGCTCGTTCTCCTGACCAAAATCAGCAGGGACACCACAAATAAACACCTTTCAGCTTTAGCTGGATTCAGCTGGCGGAGGTTCAAATGTCAAGTTACCAGAATAAGACAGGACCACCACTACCTTTCAGTACTGAAATTGCAAGTCTCTTAATCAGTTGATTAAGATATATAATTTACATTGGCATACAACAAAGAAAAGCAGCAAATCCTCACGTTAGAAGCTAGTAAGAGTATTTTTTGATACTTCAGTGATTAACTGCATGTCAAAATGGTGAGAATAAAGCAATATTTACAAGCAAAAACGCTAATGATTCTCAGCTTTTCAAATGTGAGAATTTGCTGCCTGTGTCTGTTCTACATTGTAAACTAGATACCTTTGAGTTCTGGGCTGCTGATCAGACAAAACCGGCAATCTGAGTACATCACTTTGGGATCTGATAAATTGCTTTTTTTATGTTTTCAGATATTTCTGAAAATAAATGAATCAAAAGTCATGACAATAATCTTTAACTGCAGCTCTAGAAGCAGCAGAAACCCATAGTGCCCATCACTTAAGAAATGACTGGTCTTGATAATTTGGTCTGGGCATCAGCAAGTAGCAACATAAATATGCACTGTGAAAGACAAAAGATGTTGCTTGCAGATAAAAAAAAAAAATCCCTCCACATACAACGGGACATACTGTATCTTTGTTGTGGAGATTATCTGAGGGTACACGCTGCTGCAGTGTGGGCACAGTGCTTTGGAGACAATGGCTAAAACACACAAAACACAACAGCAGTTTTGAATGCTTCATTTACCTGCTGATTCACCAGTGTTGATCCAGTCTGGGTTTGCAATGCTGGCTATTGCAAAGATATCCGCTGCCAGAAACAGGCACCCTGAAATGATCGTTAGTTTATCCATATCTCCAGCTGATGAAGCGGTGAATGGCGTGGGAAAATGCGGTGGTCGTTGTCCAAGTGTGACCCCGGGTGTTGAGAGACACAGGGTGGGCTGTTATCAGTCTAACCTCGCCCCCTTCAACAGAAGCCCGCTGCTGTGGTTCTGCTGTGCATTTTGCAGCAACGTTAGCTCCTCCGCGTTAAGCAAGCGAGAGCATCCAGCTACAGAATGTTCAAATACGAAACACAAAATCATCACATCTCAAATGGTCGTTGTAGGTTAGCACAGTAAAACTGTAGCTCACTTAGCACCAAGGCCCTGGACCATCTGTGTTGTCTTCCGTATCCGTTTAGCAGCAGCAGCAGCATCGGGTACAGCTGCGGCTAGCCAAGCTAGCTACTTCCCAGATTCGGACTCAGGGTGTCGAACTGCGGCCCAGAGCCCGCTCAACGACCGAGACCACGTCTGCGCTTGCATTTCACACACAATGTCACACAAACGGAGGTGCAGGGGAAGCAACGCAAGTTGCCTTCACTTCGTAATGTCCGTGTTTTTAGCCAAGATCTAATGTTACCCGTCAGGAAAACGAGAACACATCTCCCTCTCTTGCTTAGTCGAGCCCGTTCCCCTTCTCCTCTGGAAAAGCATCTGGTATTTTCAGTCCGTTAGTCAGCCAGCTTTATTTACCTCCTCGTCTCCTTCTTCTTCTTCTTCTTCTTCTTCTTCTTCCTCTCCCTGGACAACGGTGCAGAGACTAGACTCGGGTTTTAACGCTACGTCCAAAACCGACTAACAGCAACGTTATTGTTGTGCTTTCCATCCGTAAGCCTACCGTTAGCTCAGCCTCCCGTTCTGCCAAATGACATCAGGCGAACACCCCCAAGCCGAGTAGGGCCGAGCTCCGAATGCAGCCATAGCCATTTGCTGCCCCCACTGTGTGAATGGGCGCAGCCATAGCTACTGGTCGCTGTGAGAGGGCGCTAAATTTTGAATGTTGGTTTGTGCATTGTAGCATATACAAATTACAGACCGGTTCCTTTACTCAGCTTTTGCGACAAGTCAGCATCGAACCGGGTCTTTAAGGTAGGCTACACTGTTCTTTTATTCTGTGTTTTCATTATGTATTAAGATAGTATATTTGACGAAGGTCAGACACGTTCACGTTGTCACTGTAATGTACTGTACTTTGAGACAGAAGGTCGCTCATTGAAATAACCAACATTATAAATACAGTGGTGTGCTATGTCACACTCATGTCTTAACACCTTACAAGGAAATCATGATCATAGTTGTTTATTGCTGCTGCCAGGTACATGGCTAATAATACTGGGTCTGTCTATAACTAATAAACGTTATAATAATGAGTGATCCCTGTGTTCATGTGTGAGCCAAATAATGGAGCTTCATAGCATTAACGTTAGTATATTTTACGAAGTTAGACACCCTAACGTTACTGTAATGTACTGCACATATTGTGTATTTATTTAGTTTTTATGTTGTGCGCATTGGAGGCCATTGAGCTGGAGTTAATTTCCTCGTGTTCTTGAAATACTTGGCAATAAAGTTTATGCTTATGCTTACTTTGAGACCGAATATCGCACATTGCCTTTTGCAGTAAAATAATAATAGCCACAGTAGCCATCTTGGGTGCTATGGTGGCTGGGTGAATAGGGCGATGGC